AAATGCAGGATGCATGAAATGATCGAGGCATTAATCCAAAAATGTATTTGTTATTAGAAATAATCCTTATTGGGGACAAAAGTGTTTTATCTTTTAAGAGACAAGAATATTCTGACAACTTCTGACATGTTGACTAGTCTTCTGCGTTCGTCTGTCACCGGTTGGATAACCTGTCGAACCGCTCTGACTTATGCAGATGATGAGTTGTTTGCCCCAAAAAAGAGTCTCGAAGGGCTGCACCTCCAGCTTCCACTCTCTGCCGAGTCTGTTCCCTAGCAGCAACACCATTAGAGCCCTCTATCGAAGTTTTCTTCTTGAATTCGTCAGCCATGACGTTCATCTCAGCTAGGGTTTCGCCATCTTGTTCTCGTAGTTTTCAAAATGAGCGTCCGGGTCTGTAACATTTTCCTGTTTTGCTTTGTAACCTTTGACAGTTAGTTCTTCAAAGATATACTTTCATTGCTTGATGTAGACCTGGTTCATCCTGAGTCCTTTATAATGCACCAGAGTAATATCCTCTTCAATTGTGGGCACCACATAGTCACCTTGTAGATTGTCTTCTGCATTTTCATCTCTTGTATTACAACCCCTTTGTCCATTAATGCAGATTATTCATGTTCAACAAACACGTTTTTGGTGGATCAACACCTCTTTTAAATGATGCGAATGATGAGAACAAAATGAAAGAGAACAAATAAAAAAAATAAAAATAAAAAGAGTTAGTGAGGTAAATCAAAACAATAATAAAAATGAAAAATTCTACCCCACATGATATCTACCCCACATGATTATTATTCCTACCCGGACATGATCTCTATCCCGCATGCTAATTTCAAACAAAACCTAACCACATGTTTGTCTAGTTCGCATGCTTTGAACAGAAAATAAAGCAGGAAATAAAATAGCCTAGGGTTTGGAATGAGGTTTCGGGGTGGGCTCTAATTCCATGTACTCTCCCGGTTTAGGTTCTAAAAAGGTACTCAAGTTCCCCTTGTCGGTGCCCCCTTGGGCTTGCCAGACCCTTAGTCCTAAGCCTATTACAGGCTTGTGTGGACTAAGTTAAACTCGAGAGGACACATTCCCTTATGCCCATACGGAGAATAAATTCACACGAAGGCATAAGGTATATGAATCCCGAAGGTTACTTGCTAGGCCCATACGGTGAATAAATTCACACGAAGGCATCGCTTTCACCCCCATATAAAAGGGTTCAGAGCTCGGGTATAGAGCTAGAGATGACAATTTTGAAAAATCTGAAATCATTAAAAAAAGTTAGTACAACTATTTATTTGAAAAATAATCAAAGGTAAATAATTGGAATCGAATAAATAAATTAAAATTAAAATTTGTAATTTTCGCTTAAAAGACAACCGAAAAAATTAATTCAGGCCTGACTCACTTACCTGTCCCCAGCGGAGTCGCCAAGCTGTCGGAACCGTCTTTTGGTGGGCCCCGGAATTGGGCTTCGACTTGAAAAATATGGATTGGAGTCGCCACCAACCATTTTAAAAAACATTTAGGTGGGTCGGACACCATCTTACCTGATCTGCGTTGTACCAGAAATATATCGAGTTCGGGAGTCGGTTACGGTCAAGGAAGGATTAGCACCCTTGAACCGCCCTTTCGGTACCAATTAATTTATCGGTTGTCTTTATTTGAGAAAATTAAAATTGAAATTGAAATTTAAAAATTCGGTTCGAATTGCTTACCTTCGATCGATTGGAATTATCACTGAAAATGTTAGATGGTGAAATAAATACGAAGGAAAAAATATTAGTATAATAATGATAAAAAATTGATGACAAAGATAAATAAGAGTTAGTAAAAAAGAAAGATACTAGAAAATAGTAAAATAAGAGAAAATAATATATATAAAAAAAAGAAAAAAAATAGAAAATGTTAGTTTAGACTAAATGAATAAATAAGTGAATAAGGAAAAAAATAATAGGATAAAATAGAAAAATTAATTAGAAACCGTGAGGAAAAAAATAAATAAATAAAATAGGCATATAGAAGGGACCAAAATAGAAGTTTCACAAATCTTACTTCAAATTCGGAATATATATATATATATATATAATATAGGACTAAAACATAAACGAAAGAAAAAAGAATGCCCAAAACAGAACCTTTAAAATGTCCCTGGATGATTAAATAATAAGCATACAAAGTAGGAGGGACCATAAAAAGGATTTCACCCCTGTGTTCCAGAACACGGCAAATTAAGGGGCCAAAACGACGTAGTTTTGGTGCGCCTATTTAAGGCTAAAGCAAGGCTTTTCTCACCCCATCTCCCCTCATTTGCTAGATTTCTCTCTCTCTCTCCTCTGATGATATCTCTCTCCCTTCTCTCTAGACTCGACCAAGGTCCGGCCACCGCCCGGTAACCTCTCTCCACCGCACTGCCACCTCTCCAGCCGCCGCTAGCGGCGGCCGGGCAAAAACCAAAACATCCCAAGACACTCACCTTCCCCCCGAGATTTTAAATCTGAACCCCAAAACGTTAAACTCGAGCCGTCCCGACGTAGACCTAGCAAACAAGGTTCGGCTTTTTTACCTTCTTCTGACGGTCTCTTCAACTTCTGGTGACCGTGTTGCTGTTTTTGCTTGGATTTTTTTACTTTGCTTTGCTGTGGGGCTCCGGCCTTTGGGTTTATGTTTCGATTTGGTTTTTCGTTGGCTATAGTGGTTCGATTTTGCTATTGTGGTTCTGTTGGTTTTTTGTTTGATGTGTGGTACGATGGTGGTTCTGGTACGGTGTTGGAACTGTGGTTGGACGCTCTTGTAGCCTGTTGGCCTGATGGTTCTTGGTTGTTTACTAACGATGGTCGGTGTATCGTTGTTGGTACTATTTGGGTTCTCTGTATCGATGATCTACTGTGTTGACCGATATTGTGGTCTCAGTTTTTTTGGCTCTCCTCTTTTTTCTTCCGTTTGCCTCACCGGGGCTTTTTATAGCCCCGGTGTTGGTTGTTTGGCTCCCGCAAATAACGGGATGTGGGTTGTTGCTTGTTTCGATCCTCCAGTTCATGGTACCGGCCGCCTCGGGATGGTTCAGTCCCGTTGGTGCGACCGGAATGTGCGCTGGGCGTTGACTGCTTGGCTCCATGCTTCTGGAACCTCCTATGCGACGTTGTGACAAGGTTGATGTTAGGGTTGTGAAAACCCTAAACATAACCGGGCTAGATCAGGCCCAATGTTGGACCCTGGATTTGGACAGATTTGACCTCGTTTGGATCCTAAAAACGAAAATAAAAAATGAAATTAATAATAATAAAACAGAGAAAAGGGGAAAAATAATAATAATATAAAAAATATTTTCCCAAAACTTATATAATATATACTTTTAAAAATATTTTAAAATTATATATTATATACTTTCTAAAAATGTTTTCAAAATTATATAGTTTTTTAAAAATGTTTTTTTAAAACTATATATTATATGTTTTCAAAATGATTTCAAAAACTATATAATATATTTATGTTTTCAAAATGTTTTTTAAAAACTATATATATTTTTAAAATGTTTTAAAAACTATATAACATGTATTTTCAAAAATATTTTAAAAACTATATATTATATTAATTTTCAAAATGTTTTTAAAAACTATATAATATATATATTTTCAAAAATGTTTTGACAACCATATATTATATTAATTTTCAAAATGTCTTAAGAACTATATAATATATAAATGTTTTCAAACATGCTTTTCAAAATTATATATTATATATATATTAAAAATGTTTTCAAACTATATACTGTATATATATATATGTAGAAAAAATAAAAAAAAATAGAACGAAAATGAGTGTCTACATATATATATATATATATATATATATATATATATAATATTATAATATTATATTAAATTTTACTGTTTTATTTTAAACTCAATCTTGTCTTTTTAAAAAATTAATTCAATCGAATCAAATTATAATTCTTGTAAAGACAATCTAGAAGTATGAAACTCTGGTAGACCATAGAAAACGTGTGGGTCCTCTAAACAAGTGAATCTTTAAGTTAACCAGCATGTGGCCTTATGATTATGACTAAACCAACCAAAATCATTAAAGATCTTTAATTTTGTATTCAATTAATATTTTAATGATCAAATTATCATATCTCATGTCTTATTTATATAAGTAATGCAAGTCTAGTTTAAAGTAAATTAAAAATGTGAAATTATTTTCCCATTAATGATATAAAGATCGTCATTAAATTGATAATTTTATATAAATAACAAATATAATTCCATTAAAAATGATCTTAGAGCAAAGAATGACCGTGACCCCTCCATGTGAAAGCAAACCATTATCTTAAAGGTTTTGATTTTAAATAAAAATGATTAATTTTTCAAAGTTGATTTTTAATTAGTAATGATAGTGAGATGTGATCAGTTCCCGGTTTTAGTGGCAGACATTCGCCATGGATGGTAGGAGAGTGCTTTATGGGCCGAGAAAAAGAAAATCTCAATTAAGATCTATCATCGCTTATTTGCTTTTATCTAATCATATTTTTCATCATGCAACTCCAATTTCTATTATTTTTTTAGGATATTTGTCTTTGATATTAAATTTAATATATATAAAATAATATATATATTTTTACTTATTTTTAGATATTTAAATTCATTTTATATTTAGAGTTGCTATTTGAATCGTAAATTGTGTAAATTTATTTTATATAATATGTTTCTTTTAATTATAAATCTTAAATTTGAAACTTATTTAGGATTATTATTTAAATTATATTTTACCAATCAGAGGATGACACATATAATCATTTAATTGGTTTTGATTAAATTAAATAAAAATAATTAAATATATTTATTTTAATAAATAATTTTTTGTTGATGTAACAATGTTAAACGTTGATATGCAAAGTTAAAGAAGAGAGACAGTGAATGCCATGAGAGCAAAAAGTTGAAATTTGATTAGTTAAAACTTGGGTACAACATAAATTTGTTTAAGGTTCCTGACTAATCTGTAAATTTTGAAACTTTGCTTGCGATTTCATTAATTTACAAAATTAGGAAACTCGGCCATAAAAAGTACATTTGAAGTCTCCATTAAACATTGGAGGTTAGGATTCGAACAAATCATTTTTTCCTGGTATAAGAATTGAAAAAGATCATCCTATTAAATCATGGTTTAGATAGGCGGTCGGGTGCTTATGTTTTAATTCTTGTTCCTCGTACCGGGTCCATCCATGTCCGGAAATTAATGGATGAAGTCGGCATCAACGACCTTCTGGTACTTGGTTTTAGGGGAAGAATCATCGTCTCCGTAGTTTTCTGGACCCTTCTTATTAAGCTTGTTGGAAGAGATGGCCACCGGCGGGATGTCAACGGAGGTGAGCTGTGGCGGAGGATGCTGCCATTGCGGAAGCGGTCCGGCCAAAAGAAGGTTCTGCAGGAGCGGACCGGCATCTTTAACAGCCTGCAACAGCTTTCCTTTCGCCGGAAGTGGCCTGCTAGCTGCTAGTTTCAAGGCATGTTCGGGAAGCGGTGATGGTACAGTCACCGGAGCCGAAATTGAGTCAGAACCCGGAGTTGAAGCCATGGTTGGTTCGCCGGCGGAGAGAACAGCTTCAGCTGCGGGTTTTGATTCGTCTTCTTCACGGGAAACACCAAAAGGTGAAGCTGTTTCCGGCAGTCGGTGCTGTAATTGTTGGTGAAGTAGGAATTTCTCCATCGTCAGCTTCCGACATTGAGCTTGAGCTTCATCTCTCTGTTTCAATGTCCGAATCAGGACATCTTTGAGATGAACCAATTCAAACTCTCTCCTTGCAATCTCCTCTTTGGCTGACATTAGAGTTGTCTCTAGCTCCACCGTTGTAAACAGTAGGGTTTGCTTTAACTCTTCCATTCCCTGCAGAAAACAAAAGGAGATTAGAAACTAAACCCTCGTACTGCAATTTGGAGTAGTGATTCAAAGAATGGCGAAGCTAAACAAGATTAGAAAGATGGTTTACCTGGTGTTGGTGGAAATAAGACAAGGTGAGCGAAGTGCATTGATCAGCCATTGCAAAAACCCTAAAACCGGAGGGAAAATGGGTGGAGCCTTTCAACGGACCTTTTTTTATAGGAGTTGAAATCTCCTTTTTGCTCTTTACATGTGGCCTTTCCCTTTATTTGTTTATTTTATTTGAAATGCAATATTCCAAAAGATAATATTTATAACAATTCATGGCAATTATTATAGCCGCTAAATATAAAACAACCAATATACGATATATCCCATTTTCAAAAAATATATATATATACATCTACCCTACATGTGATTATGTGAGCCCATGCATATGTTCAACGTTCCCCACCTTAGAAATCTAATGTTTTTTACTAGAATCATAGATGGATCGGAGACATGTTGTTTGGTCACATCTTTAAAAATTTTAAATATAATTTACATATTTTTATTATAATCATAGGTTTTCTTTATATTTTTTATCTTATAATATAACTTCTTATATTTATATTCTTAATAAAAAAAATATTGTCTTACCTTGTTAAGATATTAGAAATTTGATGCTGAACATTGGAATAATTTAATTTTCTCTCCCTAAGATTTTTCAAAGGTGTCCATAGGGATGGGCATGGGACCCGAACCCGATGGATTCCGACCCGAGCTGATCGGGTCGGGTTTTTTTTTTTTTTAAATAATCGAACTCGGGTCAGATTTAGTTTTTTTAAATGTGATGTTCGGGTTGGATCGGATTCGGGTTTATGGTTAAAATTACATGACCCGACCAATAAATATATATAATTTTATATTATATATTTAGGTATAATTACAATAATATTCCACTCTATTAAATCATTGTTTTTATTAAATAAAAATAATATTTTTATTATTATTTCAAGTTGGGTCGGATCATGTTCAAATTTATTTCAAAAAATCGAGTCAGGTTAGGATAAGGATATGCAATTTTCAGATTGGGTCAGTTTGGCAAAAACCCGACCTATACCCATCCTAACTGTCCACCAAAAAAATGATTAAAATAAAAGAAGAAATGGTAGGGTACTCAAGGCTCAAACTACAAATGAATCGCCATTTATAGGCAACAAATATATGTCCCTTTCGAGGGGGGAAAGTCTAATTAACAACCAAAAGTCACCATTCAGAGTTTAGACCAATTCCAATTAACTAAATATAATAATTTTGAATGTACTGTAATTATTTAAATATTGTAAAGTTAATTAAAATACTAGGATATGGAAAAATAATACAGATAATATACTAACAATTGAAAGTATACAAATTTGTTTAAATATATAAGTTCTTAAATATAACTAGAATACTAGATAACTTCTAAAAGATTTATCTTCTTTAAATAAAATTAATTTAAATTTAAATACTTTTATAATTTTAAAATTAATTACATTAGTTAAAAAATAAATTTTAATGATATTTATTTATAAGTTTAAATAAACATGAATTACTATTATAAATATTTTATTTATGTATATATTAAATTAAGTGATATAAAATTTAAACAATAATTTTAAAAATATAAGTTTTGAGAGACGCATACGTACATGTGAATAATGCTTATTTTTTTAATGAAACGTTTGGTTTTAAAACTAATTATCTGTATTTTTAAACATAACATTTTATCATTCCACCTAAAATTATTATTTAATAATTTACAAATATAAATTTATATAAAATATTTTTTTTGTTTTTCATATATCTATCTAAAATAACATCGAACCTAAATTCATTGGCGTAACCTAAACCGATATTAACGTGTGGGTCCCTTCCTTTCACGTGTATTTTCGGCTTTGGGGTCACTTCCCCCTTTAGATCTTATGGGCGAATCATAGACTAATATTTATAATAATATAAAAAAAAACCTGAAATAATTAATTGAATACATAAAATCATTTTAGAAAATTATTTCAAAAACTGTTAATGAAAATTTTAGAAAATCAATAAATAAAAATTTATTCAGTACACTAATATTTATAATGATATCTTTATATTAAATGAAATAATTGATTACTGTATTCATGATTTTATGCACTAAAACATGAATACATAGAATCATTTTAAAACACCTTAACATTACTCGTTAACAGGAATTATTTTAATCATTTTTTGAATGATACATATTTGAGTATTAATAAATAAGTTTAATTATTATTATATTTAGTAAACAATCATTAGAGAAGATGATTAAAAAAATTTCAATTACACGTCTCATTTCTTTTGAGTTGTGGGCTCAATACCTATTAAGAGTAACATTTCCGTTCTCCTTCCACTCCCTTAGACAATAATTTAGAAAAATCATTATTATGTTTAAACATAATTTAAATAATAAAAAATGTTATATTTAAAATCCTTCTTAATTATTGACAACATATATATGTTACAAACAAAACTATTTAAACTCACGACCTCTTAGAACATTACTCATTTTTATGCCTTTCTTATTATACTCCATCTTATGTCTTTATATTGAGCATTGTATTAATTCTTGTTAATGGAAGTTTCCCTCTCAAAAAAGATATAATTTAGAAAAAGATTTAGTTACATATGTTAATTAATTCCCTCCTTTTCAATTTAAATTCTGGATTTATTGATTTTAGGTTTAATTTAAAAATAAGTATCTAAATTATATCTTGAAATACAATTTAGTGTCAAAAGATTTTTTTTGTTAAAAAATATATGTTCATTATTTTCTCCTATAAAATTTTAAGTGTCTTCCATTAAAAAAAACATCACATTTATATAATTTTTGAAATTGTTGTTTCTAAAAAAAATAAAAAAAAAATTAAGAATACAAAAGGTACTCAACCTATGTCCGTTTTTTCAATTTAGTGTCTAACGTTTATTTCGTTCCAGTTTGATAGCTAACATTTCATTCTGTGGCTTAAAATAGATCAAACTGTGATGAACTGTTAAATTTAACTGTTAACCCAATAAAAATATCACACGTCATATTTTTTAATACTAAAAAAAATTCTGAAAATAAGGAAAACCTATCACCTGCATTGTCTACTCTTTGCTCCTTCATTGGGTGACGGAGGTGGCTGATTTCAGCTACAGAGAAGGAAGAGCGGGGGCATCCAGATCTTGCAGCAAAAAAGAAGTTTCCCTCGACTAAAACAAACTCGTATTCCTTCTTTCTTTCTTTTTAATTTTTTTTATCTTTTCTTTGTCGTGTTGTGTTTTGCAAACTCATCTCCTTCTCCCATTGATGAAAGAAGAAGGATCTTGTACCCTGAAATTTTCACCATGACTCCTCCTCATTTCATCTTCCTTCTCTTCTTGCTATCATTCTCTTCATCACCTTCACAAGTTTCTTCTTCTTCTATAATTCAGGATTTTATCATTTATAGAAGAATTCTACACCAACCATTGTTTCCAGCTGGTACAGCCCCACCTCCAGGTAATGACAACTCCATACCTCCGCCGTCTCCAGCCGCAACGTTCCCTCGTTTTTCAACACTTCGAACGCTTTGGAACCGGAAACATTAAACGCAATTGAAAAGTTCAAAATGATCGTCGTTAGACCCTTAATCCAATCATCTTTGGATAGTTCATTAAGAGCCGACATTTTCCAGTGCAACTCAAACGATTATCTCCAATGGCTAAACTCGAAACCAAAATCAAATGTTGTTTACATATCATTCGGAAGCATCGCCGTTTTAGCAAGGCAACAAATGGAGGAAATCGCTCAAACTTTGATATCTAGTGGGCGGCCATTTTTGTGGGTGGTGAGAAACCAGAAAGCTAGAGGAGGAGAAGAAACCTAACAAGATAAACTGAGTTGCAGAGTATTAGAAACTCAACATAAGATGTAAACTTGCAGTATATTATTCATGCTTTACACAGCTGAGCAAGGCTGCATTTATAGCTACAAGAGTAAGAAAACCCGCCTAACTGACTAACAGACTAACAGTCTGAGGTTTTGCTCACATACACTCGAGAGCACATTGATTATGTGCACTCTTTACACATGATCTCTCAACATTCTCCCTACTTTTTCTCCTCTTCTTCACCTGTCAACAGCATCACATTAACTCTCGCACGAAAAATGGTGAATGTAGTCTTAGCCAATGGTTTTGTTAGGCCATCAGCAGTTTGATGTGTAGCAGGAACATAGCTAACGCACAACTGGTTGGCTGCAATCTTTTCCCTTACAAAGTGAACATCCAAATCCACATGTTTTGACTGCGCATGATGAATTGGATTGACGCTCAACGCAATTGCACTGGTGTTGTCACACCAGATAATGGGGCATTCTTGTCGTTTTACTTCTAGATCAGTTAGGAGTGCTTCCACCCATGTAACCTCTGCTGCTGCATCAGCTAAGCTTCGATATTCAGCTTCCATGGTTGATCTAGAAACCACTTTTTGCTTCTTAGCAGCCCACGACACCATGTTGCTGCCAATGAAGACACAATAACCTGTCATGGATCGTCGATCATCAACACATCCACCCCAGTCAGCATCTGCAAAAGCCTTTACATGCATTGCTTCCTTGGACGGTGAAAACACAAGTCCAAACTCAACCGTTCCAGCTAGATAACGCAATATGCGTTTTGCAGCCAACATATGACACTCTCGTGGTGCATGCATGAATTGAGCTATCTTGCTCACACTGTAGGTTACATCCGGCCTCGTATGACAAACATACAACAACGATCCTACTATACTTCGAAATTCTCTCGCATTCTCTAATAATTCACCTTCACCACTGCAGAGTTTGTTATTGGCAGTCATAGGTGTGGCAGTTGGTGTGGCCTTTAACATATTTGTTTTCTCCAGCAACTCTAAAACAAATTTTTTTTGACTGAGCATTAGAGAACCAGCACATCTCTGAACTTCAATACCTAGAAAGTACTTTAGGTCTCCAAGATCTTTTAAGGAAAAATTGTCACGAAGCATTTGTACCACTCGTTCAACTTCCTCAACAGTCTCACCAGTAACAAGGATGTCATCGACATAAACGAGCACAAATGTTGATACACCATGGGCACGAGTGATGAACAATGAAACATCAGCTTTCGATGGCCAAAATCCCATTTGCAACAAACTGTCTTTCAA